TGCTGGGGTATGATTTTGGTTTTCCTGACAATGCTATATAAACTGGACAATAGTTCACAAAACGAAGGAGGTAACCGATACTTGATTTCACCTTTTATTCATTTCGTTTGCATGGTGTGATCTCGTGGAATCAAAATGGAGTGTCGGCCCCTGACCGTGACAACATTCTTGGATGCTTTCCGAGACCCGACAATTATAAACCGAGCATTCGCTTCCATTGGGGCGATTCTGTGATATAAGTAGCCTTTTTTTCTGGTCTTTTGAAACGGGTTTGAATTCGCTTGTCGACAAAACGTTCATTTTCTTATATATAGCTGTCCTGTTGCGATTAGTACATTCATACTGAAAATCGAGTAAACCTTACGACTTTGATCTGACTGACGAAAGAACAAGTGTTCGATTCTTATGTAACAACTCACATACTCTGAAATGTTGATCAATGAACACCCCAAAGAGTATGATTGTGAAGTTGGCATAAAAGGACATTAAAGGAAAAATCAATTCACTTTCTACTATTATGATCGAACAACTAAGAATACATTTTCATTCCCCCTTGCTTTAACAAGACGGGTCTGGCCACAAGTCGCCAGCCAGATGGAGCAATGTGGCCTTGTTAAATCACGATCGAAGTAAAACTCGTGTGAGAAAAACCTCCCACGGGGAAAAAGAGTACCTCAGGAAAGAATTTGTCAAGAGACTTAATTAAAAAGGTGATTCTACGGTCTCTTTACGGAACCATTCCGTCGGAACTTGTATGATGATGTATTAAACCAGCGAATTTTATGGCTTCGCAGCAACTTCCAAAATAGCAAATGCTGTGAGAGCAAGCTGTAATTGTCGACTCGTCTTTTAATTATTTCTTAGCTGTTTCGCTTTTGAAATAATAATATCAAAAACCGCGTCTCACTTGTCTTTTTTGCAGTTTGCCCCCTAACCCACCCCACTTCCACCCACTTTTAATCAAATAAAACCTAATACAAAGCTGTATTATAAATACCCTCTTAGCCTTTCCATTTTCTCCTACCTTCAAATTTCAATACAATTCAATTCTAAGAGAAAAAGAAAAAA